GTCCATGCTGAAGCACTTCCATATATGACTGCGCTGGCACGTATGATGCCATGCACACGAGCGAGTCAAGGTCACACCGGCACTCACGCAGAGGAGGAGCAAAGGAACGATGCAAGCGTGGGAATGACACGGGAAAGGAATGATTGAAAAGGCGACAACCAGGGACAAAGAGGAGCTTACGTGCTTGAAAAAGTGCTCTGCCAGACACCCTTGTCTGACCAGATGCATAAGAACGCCATGGAAGCAAAGACACTGCCTGAGCCGTTAGAGAGATAGGCGGGGGGAGAGAGGGAGTAGCAGGCAAGCTAGGGACGCGAGCATGAGCCCAACGTTTTTCCAAGATTCGAGCGAATTCAGACTTTGTGAGGGCACAGCGAAGTGTTTTCACCTCAGGCTCGGTCAGAGGACCAAGCTGAGAAACACGCGGCCGTGGTTTAGCGCCAGATCTCTCGGTTTCAAGGAGCCCTTAGCTGGCGCCCCGCGAGCTTTCGAACCAGGTGTGGAAATGAGCGTCATGCGCATAGATGCCTGCAGCTGCTTGTGGGAAGAATCTGGTGCTTGATGCGGAGTGTTGTCGGCCTGCTGTGAGGGATGGCGGCCGCCGCAGCGTTATCGCAGTCATCTGGTGCGTGCGGGGATGGCAGCGGAGAGGACAACAAGGCGCAGTGGATCCCCATCTTCGGCCTCACGGCACACAAGACCCGCCTCACCCTTCAAGACGACGGCCGTTCGGCTCTGTTTGCCGGCGCATCGAAGGGTTCGGACGGTTGTGCGGCAGCATATCGGCTGGAGCTGGAGGGCGGGGAGGGGCGTGACGTCAGCGCCGCAGATTTGGCTGAGCTGTTTGTCCAGGCCATCAAGGACGGAACTATCACAGCCAAAGGTACGTGTCTGTCTGTCTGATGCGAATCAACGTGCCTGCAGTGCACCCACTCTGGGTGTTTGTACTGTATGGGCTTTGTTTCAGATCTCCTCGAGGCCCCACCTGCTGAGTCGTCTGCGGCCCCAGAACCGCCCATAGCCCCTCCAGCCGCACCCCAGCTCGCTGCCGACACACCTACTGAGGCGCCTCCCGCTGCTGCGGCGGCGGCGGCGGTGGCGGTGGCAGCAGCTGACGAGGGCCAGCAGGTGCAAGAGCAGCAGCAGCCGGAGAGCGAGAATGCCGTCGGGGACGGGGCGATAGCTATCAAGAACCATCCGTCAGACGAAATCGCCTGGCTTCAAGACATCTTCGGCGACACAGCCGACGATGCGTCACCAGCTGCCCTCCCTGCCCCTGCTCCCCCTCCCTCTCCTCGTCCTTCCCCTGCAACAGCACCAGCAGCTGCTGCCGCCGCGCCCAGCGAGGCGACCCCCGCCCCACCACCACCGTCCCCCGCAGGAGCTGACGACACGGCAGATGGTGCAGAGAAAGACCTATTGGACGACAGCGACAACCGCTGGTTGTGCCCGGGAAAATGCGGCAGTCGGTGGACGCTCGAGATGGATGAGTGCGACTTCTGTGAGAGTCCCGTCGTCAAGAGGCCAGAGTGGGCGACCCGCAAGCTGGAGGAGAAGCTGGCTCGAAAGAGGGCAGAGGAGGAGGAGAAAGAGGAGGCCCGAAAGAAGGCGGAGGAAGAGGAGTCAGCAGCGTCGGCGGCGGTACAGAAGCGGTCTGAGGAGACGGTGGCCGCTGCTATCGCCGCTGAGAGACCGTCGTCAGGAGAGAAGGCTGCAGAAGAGGCCAAGGCGGCTCCCGAGGAGCCTACTTGTGAGGCCCCTTCCCTTCCTGCTGCCAGCCCGCCGCCTGCCGAGCAGCCTGTCCCACTGGAGGAGCCCCCATCCCCCCCACCTCGCCCATTCTCCCTCTCCCCGCCCCCCGCTCCATCTCTCCCCCCAGAGACGCCGCCAGCACCCTTCACTGCTCAAAATGCCATGCCTCAGGCCGGTCCCGTGGCACTGCGGTCTTCCGCGGCCGACGGGGCTGCTGAGAAGCCGAGGAAGGGCCGTCTCAAGAAACCGCAACCTCAACAGGATGATGAGAACGGCGAGCCGTCCAAGGGCGCTGAGCAGGCGAGCATTGCTCCTGGGCCCTTAAAGGGCGGGTCACCGACGAGCTACAGTGTCAAGAGCCGGTCGACGGCCAAGTCGAAGGATCGTGGCGTGGATGAGGTGCTGACGGACGAGATGAGTGTGAGTGAGACGGAGTGCAAGGACACGAGTGGGTCGGTCACAGAGGAGGACACGTCTGAGGAGGAAGACGCCAATGTGCAAGGGGCAGATTTCGTTGTTGAGGTGAGGGAGGGAGGGAACAGATGTACATGCAACCCAATGGACGAACGAGATGCGCGGTCATCGATTTGCTGGTTGATGACGGGCACGTGTCTTGTGCTGGTTTGATTGGTGTGCTGTGCAGCGGATAGGTGAGTATGCCAAGAGCCGGAACGGACGGGGCAAGTGGCGCACCTACTGGGAGGTCAGATGATACAAACCACACACACAGGACAGACAACACATGCAGGCCGGCGACGAGCCAGCAGCCATGCCTTCATTCGGCTGTCTTCCTCCGCTTTTATGTGTGTGTGTGTGTGCAGGGTTTCAAGAAGCCGACGTGGCAGAGACGCAGACAGTAAGTGCATCTCCTGACTGCATGGTTGGACGAGTGGCCGATACACACCCACATGTGTCGTGTCTTGTTCTCCTTCCCCCACGGCAGCTTCTCCACCCCTCTGGACGAGGACATCGAGACCCAAATGCTCACTGCCAAGCGCAAATGGAAGAAGAAACAGTAGGCAACCCGCGTCACACCAGACCACACCACACCAGACCACATCATATCTCATCGCTGCGGGCAACTGGGGACTGGCGGCTGGATGTGGTGTGTGCAGGATCGTGGAGAAGATGCGCAAGAGGAAGGCCAAGGCCAAGGCGAAGAAGAGCGCCTCAAACAAATCTGGTACGTGACGACACGACAGACAGGGCGCGGCGCACAAACCCACCCACCCCACCCCCCCGCCCATCCATGTGAATCATCATCACTTCAGACACTCCCCCCAGTGCTGCCCCCCGCTCCTTGTCCCCAGCAGGATCAGCCAAGCCCAAGGCCGTCCCCGCCGCCAAGAAGAAGCTCAAGAAGACCGACACGCACCCGCAGCCACGGCCTCTCTCACCCGCCAAGGCGCCTGCTGCCGATGTAGCACAAGCCGACAGTGACAGGGGCAAGAAGGCGGACAAGAGTGACAAGGGCAGCAGCCCTGCGGACACGCCATCTGCATCGGTGGGATCGTCCTTCGATGCCCTGCCCAACAAGGCGCCCAAGAAGCGCAAGGGAGAGGAGAAGGACCAGGACGGCGAGACCAAGAAGCGCAAGATGGACAAGGCCAAGACTGACGGCACCCTTCCAACAGCAGCTGTCGAGCTCCCTCCTTTCCCGGCTCTTTTCAGCGACAAGGGAGACAGTGGCGAGGGAACTGCTGAGCAGAAGGCAAAGGCGAGCGAGAAGAAGGCGGCCAAGGAGGTGTCCCCGGCCAGCAAGAAGTCCGCCGACGGCAGCAGGCTCAATGGGGCAGCTGGCGAGCAGCCCAAGAGCCAAAACAGCTCCCGCAAAGTCGATCCGGCCAAGGTCGTCCGACGCACAGCCATCAAGCGCAAGGAGAAGAAACCCGACGCACAGAAGCCCGCCGCCGCCCCGAGCTTTCTGAGGAGCAGCACGTTGCCAGTGCCGCAGAGCGCTTCCCTGCTTAGCGCGCCGGATGCTGCCGGGGCGCCAGCACGGCCGTCGCCCCCGGGGGAGAGGGCTGACGAGCGGAGGAGGGGGCCGTTGCTGAAGCCTGATATTCATGCGGAGTACGCAACCACGTGGGTCATCTCCAAGCCGCAAGGATGGGAGTGGTGAGTGAGTGACCAAAAGCGGACGAGACCAGACGAGAGGCATGAAGGGTGTGGTGTGTGGTTGTTCAGTTGCACCGACAAGGTCGACCCACGACTGTGGGAGGACGAGAAGCAGCTCAGCGAGGCCGACAAGCCGCAGCTCGCTGTGTGGGCCTACTTCAACTTGGGTCAGCCCGAGCCATGGCGTCCCGAGTTCGCCACCAACCCCGAGAAGCGCCAGTGCAAGATGCCGGCCCTCTTCGGTCGGAAGGATCTGTCAAACGGGTTCATGCAGCGGCTGGACATGAACACCAGTGGGCTGCTGATGCTGGCCAAGGACGAGCGCACCTACCAACATCTCAGGAATGTGCAGCGCAAGGGACCCGGATTCGTCAAAATCTACAAGGTACGTTAGGTTAGCTACAAGCCTGCCTGTCTGCCTGAGAGGGAGAAGAGAGGACACAGAGTCAAGTGTTCTGTTGCTTGTTTAGGCCATGGTGCTTGGCGTTCCGAGTCCGCCTATCGGTACCATCAAGAACTACATCACAAACCAGGCGGATGAGAGAGGCTTCGTCTCAAAGGAACACGACACGGTCAGCAGACAGACAGACACCGACGGATCCACGCACGCATAGGCGGTTGTGAGGCTGGTGACGTCTTGTGTGTGTTGGCATGCGTGTCGACGTGGTGTGTGCAGGGCTCCGAGACCGACAAAGCCATCACCCACTACGCACTTCAAGACGTGCTGACCATGGGGCCCCCGCACACAGCGCAAGAGAACGAAGTTGTGTCGATTGTGCATCTCAAGATCGACACAGGTGGGTGCGGTTGCGGTTGCGGGAGAAGTGGAAGTCCATCTGCTGCTCACTCACCTCACCCTGGCTGTGCTGTTGGCTGGTCAGGTAAAACGCACCAAATCCGCGTGCACATGGGGGGGGAAAACGGCTGGCCTCTTCTGTGGGACACCAAATACATGAGCGACCACCACCGTCGCGAGTACTGGCAGATGCGCCAGCTCCTCGGCCGCCATTTCCTCCACTCATTCCACCTCGCGTTCGAGTCGCCCGTATTCGACGACCGCGGCAAGCTGGCGGGGGTCGAGAAGGCCTCCCTCGTCTCGGTCCTTCCTGAGGTACAGAACCTAACCTACACCAAACAGCCAACCCGAAAGCGGCCCTCCCTGCTCATGATCATTATCGTTTCTTCCCTCCCTCTTGAATCTCAGGATTTATTCGCCGTTCAGCAGAAGTTTACCCCCGACCCCGTGCGCCTCGCTCGTGCCTACGAGGGCCATGACGATCTGGTGCGTCAGCCACCCCAGCATCGCTGCCTCGCCGCCCCTGCCATAGCCCGCCGAGCCTGCCTCACGGCGGCTGAGTTCGACTCGGGTGTGGGTCTGCTGGACGTGGAGGAGGTCAAGCAGGGGGTGCAGCTGACGGACAAGGAGATCAAGGAGGGGACGAGAGAGGAGCTGCAGAACTGCGTGAGGCCTCCCACCGGGCAGCCCCCATTGATGGACCCTCAGCTTCTCGCTCATACGGCCACCCCGCCGATGACACCGTCCCTGCCGGCCCTGATATCGCCTGTCATCGACGGCCCCGCATCCGCCACCGAGCCCAAGGCATCTGCAACAGCACCCCCGCCAGGCGCTCATCGGCAGCCCCCAAATGCTGTCAGGCCGCCTGATATACGAGGGGGCCCACAGCCCGAGGAGGGTCCACCGCGCCCAAGTGCCGATCGTCGCATGCCGCCAGGAAGGGAGGTTGTCCGCCCAGCGCCACGTCATCGAGAGGACGGCAAGCGAGCAGATGGCCCGTCCCCACCACAGCGGAGGCCATATGATGGCCAGCGACGGTGTGACGATCGGCCAGTGTCAGTCAGGCCGTCCCCTCGAGGCCGCGGGTCTCCCGGCAGACCGCGGTCGCCTCCCATCCGAGAGCGAGAGCGAGAGCGAGGTGTGCATTCGCCGCACAGGCCAGCGCACCACGACAGGGCCCACAACAGGTCTCCGATCGGCGCACCGCGGCATTCACGTGAGGGCGGCAACATGAGCATCGACAGGGTGGGCCCACGCGAGCGGGACCGCGGACGAGACGGCGACGAGAGGGGAAGGGATAGGGACAAGCGAGAGCGGTCACCTCCACGCAAACCCTTCAGCCCAGGCCCTCGCAGTAAGAATCCGCGCGTCGACGACAGAGGCCCTCGCGACATCACTCGAGGGGGCTCTTCCCGTTCTCCGCAGCCCCGGCGGGACGGCCGAGGGCCCCCACCGCCACCACCTCGTCAGGACTACAAATGGAGTTCACATAGGGGGGGAAAGCGTTGAGTGAGTGTTGCGTACAGACAGGTGTGTAGGATAGCATAGTAGGGGAGGGGAGGGGAGGGGGGTACCAGGGTTGGTTGGCCAGCTGGAAGTTTGTTGGTTGGTGGTGATTGATTAGTGGCTCGATGGGTGCCAAGGGTGCTTAATGTAACGTGTGTGTACGATACGCATGTACTTTTCATATGTGGCGATTGGCTGACTGACTGACTGATTCATCCGTCCGTCCGTCCGTCCGTCGTGTTGTGTTGAGGGGCAAGAGTTGTCCGTGGCGTGAGAAGGAAGGCCTTTGTTCTATTTATTTCTTGGTGCGTTGAGCGGGACCGGTGATGAATAATGAATGAACGTATCTCGAGTGCAGACTATGGTTGCTGGCATACTTCGGTGGCCACACCAGAGCATTTCATGTTAACTGTGAAGAGAGCAATGAGTTCGATCGTCGAGATGCGAGTTATCCCTCTCAAACCCTCCTTGGCAACCCATCCCCAGCAGGAATACCCAGGAATAGCCGCCCGCGCTTCAGCATCACCCCACTCTTTCACTCGAGATGTCTGCAAGCAACCCTGGGAAGAAAGCTGCTGAGAAAGACCCCTGAGGATCATGGACCTGTCTTCGTCTGGTGTCTGGTGCCTGTGTCGTTGTTGTTCGCCTCAGCTCCGGGCTCCATGACGTGGCCTGTTGGCACGCCCTTCTCAGAGGTAGAGATAGATACAGACAAGGTCAATGGCATTCACGAGCGTGATGGCCTACGTTGTGACCCCTCCAGGTCCACCCATCCATCCGCGAAAGCCTGGCTGTGTTCCTGAGCAACATTCCTCAAACCTGGTCGGTGCACAGGCGTGTGTATGCATCTGCTTAGGCGAATCACACACACGACTCTCGTGCTGTGCCTGCAGGTCAAAGGATGACGTGCGGACCAATGTCACTAAGCACTGCGAAAGGTTCATCAAGGCTCATCCCGAGATAGCGCAGAGCTGCAAGGTGCCGGAGATCGTCGACTGCTGGAGGGACGGCAAGGCGGTTTTCGCCACAGTCTGCTGCAAAGACCTGGACAGCCGCAGGATATTCGACCAGGTCACAGAAATGGGCATGGACCACGGCAAACCCATCAAACTGCGGCCGTACACACTTCCTCCCAGGTGAAGAGTCACATCAAAGAGGAGTCACATCAAAGAGCTGCATCAGGGCCCTGCTGCAGCTCACGCTACTCAGTGCTTTCTGCGTTTGAATGTGCAGCGAGGACCGGACGCGTTGGCCACCTTTTGTCGAGGAGCCCAAGGTTGGGTCGTTCCCCTCTTTGCTCACCTTCAAGACGGCTTACGGGGCTCGCCCCTTCTTCATGGATGTGGTCAATCCGCTGCTGATCAAGGCCGAGGTTGACAAGAGCAAGACCCCAGTGGTGGCGCTGCACGAGCAGGCAGGATGTCTGGCCGTCGGTGTGTGGACAGAGATCGACAACTTCCAGTTGGAAGACCCCCCCTCCTCTCCGTCACGTGCTGCCTCGCCAGCTTTTTTTGAGGACCTAAGGAGTGAGCCGGCCGCAGCAGGGCAATCGACGCTCTTCAGCCATCAGTGGTGGTCTCGCGTGGGACAAGACGAGGAAAAGGGCAGCTTTGGCGCCCTCGTCCCGCAGTCAAGTTGCAGCCCCGGCCAAGTTGCAGCCCCGCCAAGTTGCAGCCCCGGTGGCGCCGCCCCCAATGGCTCGACAAGTCAGTTGGGGGCAGCATCCACGTCTGAAAGCGATGAGGAGCAGATCGTCGCATCGCTATGTCAGATCATCGATGGTGGGAAGAAGAGGAGGGGAATGCGGCGGATCGTTGTTTCGTCGTGAATCAATCAGGTCGCGGTGGTCGATCGCACTTCAAGGACGGCATCGATAACCTCGCCCCTCTTCCTCTGTTCCGGGAGCGAGTTGTCGGGCAGGCCGTCCAATTTGGCTGGATTGCCAATGCCGACACCAAGGCCGAGCTGCGCAAACTGTACGAACGACTGAGGAAGCTCATTCGGCGGAGGGAGGACGTCTTCGAGGTAGAGGAGGCCCCCCCGAATACCCCTGCTGTCAACTTCAAGGTAGGCAAGACAACGTCAATAAGCAATTATTCATTGAGACAAGTGTGCGTGTGTGTGTGTGTGTGTCATCGCATTGTCGGCCAGGTCAAGCTCGCCCAAGGCACCGAACGCTACCTGGCGCCAGGGAGTGTGAATGGCACAGCAGAGAGTGCGGCGGCAGAGGCCTCCTTTCTCCCTTTGACGAGCAATGGTGGTGTCATCGTGGCTGTGCTGGAACTGGAGGGCATGGGGTGTCAGCTTGCCCGGGAGCTGCTCAACGGTCTCCTGGCCTCACCATTCGTCCTCAAAGTGGCATACAACCTGCCGACCATCGTCAAGGCTCTCGAGCTGCCAGCAGCTGACGCCCCCTCGTCCATCCGGTTCTGTTGGGACCTCCAGCTGGCGTACGACATAGTTCATGAGACGCCTCTGGCTTCGCTTAGCGACATCCTGACGTGGGTGCATTCCGTGTCCAAGGCGGCTTCCAATCAGACCGTCGCTGGCCTTTTGCGTGCTGTCGATGAGGTGGCGTCAGTGACAACGCCTGAGGAGATGCGGCTCATCTGCAAGGCCTCGGATCGACGACTCGCCCGCATGGCTGCTGCAGAGGGGGAGGGAGACGACATGCGGGCCCGTCCTGGCGAGACAGAGGTCGGCTTTGACCCGCAGACCTACCAAATGCGCTCGATTGAGGTGCTGGCGGTCAAGAATGGCGGCAGCGACAATGGGTCTGCATCATTGGCAGCTGATGAGATGGGTCTGAAGGACACGACAGACATTAAGAGCCTCCTGCAGCTGGTGCACTCTGACTTCTGGGAGAGAGGCGGCGTGCTGGAGCAAGCGAGGGCCAGGAATGAGGGGACAGAGGAAGCAGAAAGCGACGTCTTCCTGGTCGAGATTGTCATGTACATCGGGCAGCGCCCGCACGCGATCACCCGCGAAGAGCCCAAGAAGAGGTACCTGGCGCCGAGCAAGCCCGAGGTGGTGGTCGACACTATGCATCTCGACTTCGCCGTCGACAAGCTGGGGGGCAAAAACAACATCGGGTTGGGCACGGACACGGGAAGGAGAGCATCAGCTAACGTCACGCATTGCGTGCTTCGTCGATGTCTGTGTGTCCAGGCCTGACAACCGTGCCGTCCTTCCTGGCTCACTCCATCGCATCAGTGCCATACGAGACAAATCTGACGAGCGGGTGGTGATCGGCCTGACCATGAGGGTGGGCAAGAAACGTGGCAAGAAGATGAGTGCATTTCATGGGATTTCATGTATGTGCCATTTTGCCCGCAGGTTGGTCGCGCCATGAAGGGCAACACCGACATGGTCCAAGATCTGCTTCTGTCGCCCGAGAAAGGTGTGGCAGCCGACGACGGCCATTCTATCCTCTTTCTCGGTAAGCAAGGCCTCTTCGTGTGGGCGTCAGGGTCACTGTGTGTCCACCCACTTGCGTGCAGGTGCTCCTGGGTGCGGCAAGACGACCATCATCCGTGAGGCCTCTCGCGTACTCACTGCAAAGGATCTCCGTGTGTGCATCGTCGACACCAGGTAACCACACAGAAGCGCCGCGCCCCCAGACATGGACAATTATACAATCAATCTTTTTGTGCTTGTGCACACCTTTTGTTTCAGCAATGAGATCTGCGGCGGTGGGCACGTGCTGCATCCATCAGTCGGGGAGGCCATCCGCCTGATGGTCAGGAATGTCGCCGAGCAGGACCAGGTGACCAAGTCGCGCGACACACAAACACGTGGTGTATTACCCTCCTGCTTGGCGTCAGGTGATGATCGAGGCCGTACAGAATCACACACCGGTTGTCCTGATCATTGACGAAATCGGCCATAAGTCGCAGGTGAATGACGATGCACTCATATAAGTGCAGCTGGGCATTGCATACTCTGTGTGTGACGGTGTGACGATGGGTGCAGGTGGATGCCGCCCGCACCGTGGCTCAACGCAAAGTACGGCTCCTGGCCAGCGCTCACGGCGACTTCGTTGGTCTCATGCGCAACCCAGAACTGCGAGGGCTTCTGGGAGGCTTCGAGTGAGCCTCAGTGAGGCCAAGACACTGACGATGAGATGGGTATTCATCGGCCGTTGTTCCATCTGTTCAGGACTGTGATTCTGGGTGATGCTCGTGCCTCGCGTGAGGGCTCTGATCGCAAGACGCGGACGGAGCGCAAAGGCGAGCCGCCGTTCGACGTCATGGTGGAGCTGCAGGTCGGTCAGTTTGACGAATGGCGCATCATACTCGACGTCGCCAAGTCCGTCGATGCAAAGCTGCAGGTACGCATGCACTGATACACAACAACCTGCCAGTCTCATGTGTGTCGTGCCCTTTCATCCAGGGCAAGAAGCATTTGGTGCAGGTGCGTCGCCGGTGTCCGTCGAGCGGTCGTGTGTTTGTGCGATGGGAGGACGGCTCCCGCTGCTGATGTCTTGGCTTTTTGCCTGCGTACTAGGTCTCTCTCAACTGTGCCTGCCTGCTGGTGTCGTGTCCGTTGACCCTACTGGTGTGTGGCCTGTGTCGTATATTGCTAGAGGAAGACACTGGCTGATGATGCCTGATTTCGTCCTTCCTAGTTTTGTACTAGGTTCCAAAGTGCCTGTGTGGTGTGTGGATGGATTTTGACAATCGGACTGGTGTCTAAATGGATCAATCGGGAACGTCAGCCCGACACGCACAAGTCATTCATTGCGTCTCGGAGCCAGGCAGCTGATGAAATCTGAAGTAGTCCACATACATGACGCCACTCGCATCACCAACCTCCCCCACAGTCTCCCCCGTCACTTGTGTCGTCAGCAGCACGTGCTGGCGGGCCAGCTCATCACCAGGCAGGGCCTTCGCCAGATCGATCATGCGTATCGGCACACCATCTAGGTAGAAAAAGGCCTGTGAGCAGCAATCAATGGACAAGAGAAGCAGTGAGCCACACACACACACACACACACACACGCGTGTGCTGTCCTGCTGTGTGGTCGTACCTGTTCAGGTGTGTAGAGTAAGCCATACGTATGCCACCCTGTCATGTCCAGCTGGGCGGCTTGTGCGTCCTCGGCGTCCGTCTCGTTTGACGGAGGCTTCATCGGTTCTGGCTCCCCCTCCCACTTGTTGTCACCGAGCTCCTCCAGCTTCTCTTTAGTAAACGACTTGGAGAGTGCAGGCGTCATCAAGGGGCAGCCTTCAGAGGCCTTGGCTGACAGCCTGGTGGGCTGCTGCAGAAGGATGCGGCTCTTCCCGACGATAGCATACGGCTCAGGGCTCCACCGCCATGTGGTGATTTCGTAGTAGCTTCTGTTGCCTGGGTACTGGACCACGTCAAACTCCTGCTGTGGACCGTCAACGGGCCTGCCAGATGCATGACCCAAACAGAAACGAACAACAGAACAGGATCAACGAGCAGCGCATCGTTTGCCTGGGTTGCTCACTCGAGAAAGCTGGGAGAGGTGGTGGTCCAGAAGACTTGGACGTAACCCGGCGCACCAGAGAATGCGACTCGCGCCTCGTAGTAGCCAAAGTGAAGCGTTTCGTTCATCAAAATGCCGCCTCCTTCGTACGAGAAGACGCGTCCGTCGGCTGCTTTGTATGGCTTCGAAGGGCCCATGTGCAGCTCCAGGTTCCCATCCCTCAGCTGCACCTTGTCTGGCCGGCGGCACATCTTCTTGCTGCACCCCTCCAGCACCATCCACGTGTTGGTATCGAGTTTCTTGGCGTCGAAGTCGTCCCCTACTGTGACCTCAAGAGCGTCTGCAGGGTGGCAGGCGAGCCGCTTCCTCTCTGGATCCCTGAGGCTTCCGGAAGATCCCTTTGCAGCGTGCGCAAGGACAAGGATACTCAGCACAAGAAACAGCCCTGTCATCCCTCCCTGCGACGTACTATCTTCTGGTGAGGCTGTTGTTGGTTGTCTTGTGTTCTGCTTAGACCATTTCTGATGGTGATGTTAGGCACAGCGCGGGGCTACTATTGTTTCATACTATTGTTGTCTGGGGGCCGGGCAGCCCGGCAGCGGAAGAGAATGCTGTGTTCGTGTTGCCTCGGCCGGCACCGGCCTCCTGAGCAGGCCCTCTCTGGGCAGGAGCCCCCTCGCGTCATCCCTGGGGAGGCCACACCATCTCGTCCGAAGGAGACGAGCGATGCTGTCGCTCCATCAGCCTCAGCGACTGACAAAAGGAAAAAAGAGGATGAGGCCACACATGCGGCAAGCGCCAGCCCCAGCCCGTCTTCAGCCACGGAGGACACCAGGAAGACGGGAATGTTGGGCCTTTCACGTGGCTTGTCGATGCGGGCAAAGGAGTCGGCGCCGAGTGCATTCGAGAAGTCGACGAGTCCGCCTACACGTGTGCTGCCTGAACCAACACTCAAGACGGACCTTGCTGCTTTGAAGGGCCCAGCACCGTTTGACCCGTGGCTGTGCCTGACGAATCCGGCAGAGGCGCTCAAGAGGCAGGGGTACTGTGAGTTCACCATCACCGTGCTGGAGGCCAAGGGGCTGCCTGCAGCCGACACAAATGGATTCAGGTGGGAACGAATGGCCCAAGATGATGGACACTGATGGGCATGGATGGCGATGTGTCCGTGTGCCAGTGATCCGTATGTGAAGATGACGCTGTCAAAGCCCCTTGATCCGTCTGTGTCCCACCCCAAGATCCTGTCTCTGTCTCCCCTCAAGCGCGCGATGATCTCTGTGGGCACGAGCACGACGCAGAGCAGGACGCTCGAGCCGGTCTGGAACGAAAGCTTCGTCATGCACGTCCACCATCCCATGAGTGTGCTGCATCTGGAGGTCAGTGGACAAAGGAGACGCACACATTAATCGGCTCGGTACGGATGCTTCCGTGTCTTTGACAGGTATATGACTTCGATGTTGTCGGCTATGACGATCTGCTGGGGGAGATCATCTTCCCCATCAAGCACCTGGTCAGCGGCCAGACCGTCGAGGGATGGTTCCGGATCCTGCCGTCACAGGCCTTCGAGATGCAGGGCGCAGGTCTCTCGACAACACAATCAAGCCGACGAATGCTCACTTACTGCATCTTTGATGAATGCCATGGAATGTCTCCTATATGCAGGCTTCATCCGTCTGCGAGTCACTGCCAAGTTCACGATGACGGGAGAGCTTTTGGCTGGGTGCCTGCCGGTGCCACCCCGGCCCAAGCATCTGCCGGTTTATGACCTCAACCAGCTGTATGCCAATGGGATGCGCATGAAGCTCATTCTCTGGGACGAAATGCTGGAAAAGGTAGACGGCAAAGGGGAGGTTACGGAGACATTTGTATATATGCACTTTCCTCCTTTGTGTGTCGTTGCTGTAGGCTGCTGTTTGGGCGAACTCAGTGCTCGACTGGAAGGACCCCATTGTGTCCTCGCTTGTGCTGCTGGGCTTCTGGCTGCTTTATTTCTTCCCGGCCCTCATCCTGCCGTTCTTCTTCATCTGCTTCATCGCACTCATGATGCACACGCGCAAACACCCTCTGCCGCCCCTCGACGTGCCCACCTTTCAGGATCGTTTCCTCAACATGATGGAAGAGCTTGAGACCACGCAGCAGCTGGACCCGACGGACGTCGGCCAAGGCCTTGCCGCCGGCTTTAAGGTCAACCCTCATCCCTACTGACACATTTGCCTGTCTGTCTTCGTGGTCTCCCAGGCCCTTCACGAGCAGACACTTGGCGGCTTTGTGGGCATCTTTACTGAAACATTCGAGGGCGCATCGGAGCGAGGGGCACTCGGCGCTGTCACCGGCCTTACATCAGGTGTCACAGGGGCCGTCACGGGCACATTCAGCGGGGTGGGAGGCTTCGCAAGCAGCACGCTGAGAGGACTGGCCAACACACCCGGCGCACTCATCTACGGAAGTCAGCATTGACCGTCTTCACACGAAAGAGAGTAATATCACATCCTCGCCTCTTTTGGCTGTCCATTCAGGGTCGTCTTCGCCAGTGCGCCGCCGTAAGAAGCTCTCCCATGTTGGCGATGCGCTCCTAACGGGCGTGGAAGGCTTCGCCACCTCCACTCTGGGTGGTGTGGCTTCCCTGGTTGAGTCTCCGGTGCAGGGCTTTCAAAGGGGCGGTTTTTCCGGCATGGCTGTGGGTCTCGGGACTGGTGCAGTCGATGCCGTGACCGGTGTGGTAGGCGGCACCCTCAATCTGGCCGCAGATGCGATAGAGGGGGTGGCGGCAACTCCAGGCGCAGTCCTTACTGGAGTCACGGATAGGCTGAAGGACATCTCACCAAGCAGTACCAAGAACCGTAAGCTGGAGACATGAGCACCCCCACACACCACATATGTCTGTCACCCGCCCTTCTCTGCTGTGTCAGTTGAGAATAAAAAGGAGGACATTGATGAGGGGCAGGAAACGGAGCTAGAGCTTGGCCCATGGCTGGCATTCGTGCTGGCCGGAGCACCGTCACATGTCAAGGACCGCATCAGGCTTGCACAGGTAAGAGAATGCTGTGTCTCTACGGGTCGATCCAAGCTCATGTCTCTTTTTTTTGCAGAAGAAGAGCCGCAAACTGCTGTTGAAAATCGAAACCCTCCGAGGGATTCTCAAGTGGCGATCGCCTGCGACCTCTTGGGCAGTCGTGGCCACAGCATCTGTGCTCCTACTGCTATCGGCCGGCACAATCGTCATCGACTGGTTGGCATTCCTGCTCATGTATGTGGCCTCGATCGTCGCCCGTGTGGCGCCACTCGTTGGGGGCACAGTCTTGTTACTCCATCGGACGTCCCTCTTTGAGCTGGTGGCGAGGGCCATGCAGGGCCTGTCGACATTTCTCGGCGCGGGACTCAACAAGAAAGGGCTCAACAAGCACAAGACCTACATGGTGAGACACACAGGAAGGATTCGATGCGTCCATGCGGATATGGCTGATTTGTGCGCATGTCTGTGTGTTCAGGCTGTCGAGAGCTTCGACAAGCTGTGGGTGGAGCGGTATGAGCCCTTCTTGCGTGGGCTGCGGCGGGAGCTGAAGAGACAGGAGGAAGAACAGGCGAACACGCAGGAGCCAACAGAGGTGAGGACACACGTCCCACTGCAGTGGTGCACGGCTGTATGCAGTTTGACACGTCTCTATTGATGGTATTCCCGGTGCGTGGCTGCAGGACAAGAGGCAAAGGAGCTCCAGGAAATAATCAATCGGCAGAACTCGTTGAGACAGACTGCTGATGCGAACAGTTTGGTCGACATGCATGATGCGATTTCTTTTGCTTTTCACGTGCTCACGTGCCAAATGTGAATGAATGTGGACAATGAACACCATGCCGAATTGCAAACGCGAGGGGTGAGCCGCGCGGTGTCAGGGTTCGAAACCCTGCAAGCTCACGTTCTGAGCTCGAGTCCTTTCAACGAACGCAATGGGCTCTCCTAAGCCCAAGATGGGAGTCAAGTCACCTCTCTCGCTGCCGCCAGTTCCCTCCCGCTTTTGGCTGGGCTGCGTCATCACATCGGCCATCTCAGTGATTCTCTTTGCCTTGTTCCACTCTTCCGCCGGATCTGCCCCGCCTGCACATCTGGTCCAGCCTGAAGCGGCGTCACCGGAATCGTCAACGGCTGCTGTTTTCGTCGGCGCTGGCGGCGTGAGTGTTTCCTGGCGAGCAGAGAGGCTGACCCGAAGAGAGGAGGTAATTGCCTCCAGGACAACAGCATGTGGCAGCGCGAGGCGGAGAGAGGAGCCGGTCTTCCCTCGCATTATCCACCAGACATGGAAGGAGCGGGAGCTGCCAACCATGTTCAAGGGCTGGATGCAGTCGTGTCATGACCACAACCCCACAATGGAGCACTACGTCTACACGCACGCGTCGCTGCAAGCACTGTTGGATGAGCACTTCCCCGGCTTCTCAGCCGTTTGGGATGAGCTGCGGGGCATCACTCTCGCGGACGTTGGCCGCTTGCTGGTGTTGTGGATTTATGGCGGCATCTATCAAGACATGGACTACGAATGTCTGAGGCCATACGAGGGTCTGCTGCAGGAAGCCGAGGCTCAGGGGAAGGACTTTATCGTCGGCGAGGAGCACCTGCTGCATGTAAGTCAGATGCACAAGCAGCCAGGCCGCCCGGCTGTCTGTGATGTGTGTGTGCTTGTCTCGTAGGTGTTTCTCCTGGAGCACGTCGACGACGAGGCGAGGCCGTTTGTCTCCAACGCATGGATCGCCGCGACACCCCGGCATCCGCTCATCGGCGAGTTCCTCAACCAGACAGTCCAGACTCTCGGCAATGCGACAACCAACGGGGACTGCCAAGGCGATCCTATCGGCTGTACCGGCCCGCAGAAACTGACGGCTCTCATCCACAAAGCCCTGGACATGGAGGACGAGAGCCAGCCATGTGAGCGGCCTCCATTGGGGTCTGTCATGGTGACCGACTTCGATGTGGTGTATGGCGAATATGCTGCATCGAACAACCAGTTGGCTCACTACTGCAAGCGCGATCCAGCATCTTTCAAGGCCGTTCTGCCGACGCCGAGAAATCCTTTTGCCACAGAGTGGTGGGCTTGGCAGGGGTGTGCCCTGCTGGCTCTGGCCGAAGACGATTCGCAGATTTATGTGGCCAGCCAGAGCGTTGCGGTGCACCACTGGATGTGCAGCTGGTGCGGATCGAGCCCGCGGCTGAGGCGGAGCAATTCCTTTGACGTTCGGCGTGATGCGCCGTGGGTGGTGCTCAAGTAGCTACTAGGGAAATCAATCCTGCTCAAGTAGTGTGTTGGTATATGTGTATTTGTCTGAACGTTTATGTGTCTGTTTAATTTTGTGTGTGTGTCTGTGATTGTGTGTAGGGCAGATTTGTGCATGTATGTCACTAGAGAGAAAGTGCTTTTAGAGTTTTTGTACCGCGTTTGAGCGTCTGCTTGACGGTTGGTTTATTTGTCTTGTCCCTGCCGTGGGTGGTGCGGTGCTCAAGTGGGAGATAGACGATCGTAGCCATTTGTTGTGCAGGTAGGTAGGTGTGTTTGTACTTCTGTCTGTGTATTGTGTGCCACTCACTGAGAGAGAAGGCGATGAATGATGTTCATTTGGTGCACTGTACAACACAAGTCATTTGAGTGTTTGTTTGGTGGTTTATCTGTCTTGTCCCTCCCGGCTGGCTGAAAGCGTTTCGCTTTGTTGTTTGTGATGATTTCACAATGACTCACACCACAATCCAGAGAGAAAGTGATTTGAGTATCTGCTATTGCTGAGTGGCCATGATCAACTTCAGGGTTTGGAAACCCTGCAACCCTCCTTTCTTTCTTTTTCCCATCGACCCAGCATCCCGAAGAAGCCAATGCGAGATGGGCATGATCCCGCCCAATCTCCTCCGCTTCCTGCTGGGCTGCGTCATCACATCAGCCATCTCGCTGACCCTCATCGCCTTCTTCTACTCTTCCGCCAGATCTGCCCCGCCTGCACGCCAGCCTGAGGCGGCGCCACCCATCGGCTTTGTTGGCGCTGACGGCGTGACTACTGTCGCTTGGCGAGCCGAAAGGCTGACCCGAAGAGAGGAAGATCCTCACTCCAGCGCGGCAGCTGCATGTGGCGGCACGACAGCCTTCCCTCGTATCATCCACCAGACGTGGAAGAGGCGGGAGCTGCCAACCATGTTCAAGGGCTGGATGCGGTCGTGCCATTATCGCAATCCCACAATGGAGCACTACTTCTACACAGACTCGTCGCTGCGGCTGTTGGTGGATGAGCATTTCCCCGGCTTCTCGGCCAGGTGGCGTCGGCTGCGGGGCATCACTCGCGGGGACGTCGGCCGCTTGCTGGTGTTGTGGATTTATGGCGGCGTCTATCAAGACATGGACTACGAGTGTCTGAGGCCATACGAGGGTCTGCTGCAGGAAGCCGAGGCTCAGGGGAAGGACTTTATCGTCGGCGAAGAGCACCTGCTACACGTAAGTCACATGCACAAGCAGCCAGGCCGCCCGGTTGGCTGTGATGTGTGTGTGCTTGTCTCGTAGGTCTATCTCTTGGAGCACCTCAACGACGAGGCGAGGCCTTTTGTCTCCAACGCATGGATCGCCGCGACCCCCCGGCATCCGCTCATCGGCGAGTTCCTCAACCAGACACTCCAGGCTCTCGGGAATGCGACAGCCGCCAAGACCTGTCAAAAGGACCCCGTGGCCTGCACCGGCCCCCGACCGCTGACCGCTCTCGTCCACAAAGCCCTCGACACGGAGGACAGCTTTCGGGCAGCAGAGGGCCGCGAGTCGTCATGCGACAAACGGCCTCCGCTGAGCTCCGTCATGGTGACTGACTTCGATGTGTTGTACGGCGAATATGCCGCCTACAACGGATTCATGGCCGGCTACTGCGTGGACGACGTCAGGACCTTCGACGACATTCTGCCGAGGCCGAGGAGGTCGTTTGCCAACCAGACGTGGGCTTGGCAGGGGTGCGCGATGCTCGCCCCGGCGCAGTATGACGAGGAGACTTATGTGAGCAATCGGAGTGTGGCGGTGCACCACTGGATGTGCAGCAGCTGCAGGTCGGACACTCAGGCGCTCCTGAGGCGCGGCGTCTCGTTTGATGTGGGGCGGGACATGCCGTGGGTGGTGCTCATGTGACCCACTTAGTACTAGATGGTTCGTGTGTGTGTGTGTGTGTGTGTGTGTCCGATCGTTTTTGATGGCTGGTGGGAGGGGGGGAGGTACGTGTTTCGCACATGGATGTTCGCCGCCTGACGGTTTTTCCCTCGTCGGCTGGCGGTCTGTGCGAAATGTTGATTGGGCAAAGGGGCCCGGCAGGGGCCGCCCATCCATCCATCCATCCATTCCATGAGCATCGTCGATCTATTTGTCCACTATCTACTCAGTCTCGTTCTCCACACTTTTGCCTGTCTTTGGTGGTTGGTGTATTGTAATTCACTCACTCATTCTGTCCACGCTGGTCCGTGCCGCCTGTCTGTCTGTGAGTGGGTGTGTGGCTCTGCATGATATCTCTCGGTCGACGTCTATGCCTCTCTCTCTCTCTCTCTCTCTGTCTCTCTCTCTCTCAATCCCTCTTTCCCCCTGGGGCGTGGGGGGATGTGTTTCTCCTCCCCGTCGCGTTTTGTGGCGTATCAGGACTCTCGCCTTCCCTCTACGAGCCCCACGTGTATTGTAATGATGCGACACGTAGGGGAGTGGTCCGTGTCTGTCTATGTGGTCGAGCCGAGCACCACACATGGAAGTCATTCGTGTCACCCACCCGTCCGCGTCGATGTGTGTGTGTGTCTGTGTGTATCTGTGTGTGTCTGTGTGTGTCTCTGTGTGTATGTGTGTGTATGTGTGTGTGTGTTTCGCTCTGCGTTATATCCCTCGGTCGGAGTCTCTCTCTCCCCCTCTCTCTCTCCCCTGTGTACTCACACGTCTGTGGGTGTATTGTAAACACGCATTCTATCGTGGGCGGGCGGCCCACGCCGGGCCGTGCTGTCTGTTGGAGGACTCCTTTCGTTTTTCCTGCACAGAGTGTGGACGCACCTTTTTTTCTGCCGCGCCTTGCGTGCTGTATCAGCCAAACAGTTATGTGTGTGGTGGTGGGGGGGTGGTGGTGGTGGTGGTGGGTGTCTGCATACCGGGCGTACGCTGGCAGGGGCGTAGGACGCGCTGCGTGCGGGTCGGACGGCGTGTGGGGGGTCGAATACATGTGTTGGTTGTCATATCGATTTTGGTGCCTGCGATGATAAGTCTAAGTGGTGTGGCGGTGTCCAGAGGTAGTGCGTGGCACGCTGTCTTTTGAATGTGTGTGTTGTGCCTTGATGGCTGCAGCAGCTGCATGGATCTGTCTGTGCGTGTCTGTCGCGCTCTGTATAGCTAGCTCCCTGACGTCAATGGTCGACGAATGGATCCGATCGGTGCACCTACGCAATTCATCTCATTGATTGATTGAGGTACGTAATAAATGACGGGAAACACGCAGAATCACACACACACACATGCAGCAAAAACACCACACACACACACACACACACAGAGTCGAATTGCTCCACACACACACAAACGCACACACACACACATTCACGTGCACGATGCCCATCTTGGCCGCTGCTACGGACCCCCTCCCTCCCTCCCTGTCTGCTTGTCTGCCTGTAGTCGGAACACACAACACCACTCCTAAACTCCTCCGCCCCTCTAATCATTCACCCGCCCGCATCCGCCCCTCCGTCCATCCATCCGATCGATTACAAAAGGCCGGCTGCCTCTCTCTCAGTTTCTGTGTCTAGCGGGGTCTCTCTCTGTGCTGTGTGCGTCAGTCAGCTGTCCACTGTCCACTACGCATAATTGGGGTACACATATCTCGATATGCCGGCCTGTGGGGGGTTGTTGCCGCCCACACCTGTCAGCAGCAGCGTGTGCGTCGGGCCACACGCAACCTGCACACAATCCAATCGACAGACACACATCGCTCAGGGATGCGCCCATCTTATAAAATCAATCTGATCTGAGAGGCTGGCTGAGCTGACCTTTCTGACGCCAACGCCCTCGAACCCCTCCAGCTTGGCGGGCGGTGCCTTGTCTTTCGAGTGCGGTGGCGGTGCGCGGCACCGTGTGGTGGCCGAGTGGCCCAGCCGCCCCCACCCGTTGCTGCCCCAGCTGTACGCCTGGCCCGTCACATCTATCGCCACCACGTGGTCGCCCCCACACGCCACCGACTTGAGAGCCAAATCCTGAGGAACACACAAAGCACATGATCAGATTGTGGGGTGCCTTAGCTGCCGGTCTTCGTTCTTGCTTGCCTGGAAGTATTCGACGCGTGTTGGTCGTGAGACGATGGAGGGTGCGGGTGTGACGGGCGTCCGTGGCAGGCCAGCGGGGAGCTCGTGGCTGACTGGGGGCGGCAGCTGGCCCACATCGTTGTTGCCCCACATGAAGAGCGTCCCTCGGTCGGTGATGCACGCCGACAGGTTGCCGCCCGCAGACACCTTCCACGCCTGATCGAATCGATCGGTCCATAAACCACACACACACACACACACAGATGCGCGAGTGGGGTCCGTCCCAGCTGGCTGACCTTTTCGAGCCCCCATGAGGTACGGAAGGGCGGGATGGCCATGGGGAACCGCTGGTAGCCCACCTCCATGTTCAGGGCATACTCGCCGCTCTCCATGGAATACCCATGCCCACACTGGCCCGTCAGCGTCGCCCCCCACGCCCACACGATGCCCGCCCTATCGATGACCAGACAGTGCGCCTCGCCCGCCGCCACGTCGTCAAACTTCAACTCGTACTCGCCGAAATCGCGGTACGAGATCCGCTCGCCCCTCGAGTGCTTGGCCGCCCGGGGGTTGCTGCCCACCCTCAAGCTCGCCGTCGGCTGCGGATCGACGAACTTGGTGATGTCGGCGTGGTCCTCCGTGAGGATGAAAATGCGGCTCGTCTGCTTGTTCAATTTGGCGTGGCCCTGGGGCGGTGTGCGGGGGGGCGTGCTGAGGCGAGATTGCGCCCCCATCCTGGGAGGGGTGGGCGGCTTGTGCGACGGCCGCACCGAGCGGGAAGCGGGCGACACGGGGACGGAGGGGGCCATCGAGCCGTACGACCCCAGTTGGGAGGGGGCTGTGTGTGTCTGTGTGCCGGGGTGGTCGATGGCCAGGTGGACGAGCGGCCCCATGGGATCGCCCTGTGTCGTGAAGAAGCGGAGCCTTTCGGGGCGGCTGAGGCACCTGATGTCGCCTGGGAAGCCGCCGTAGGCCTTCTCGGCTATCGCGAATTTCTCCTCAGGAACGCCCAGCTGCCCGCCGTGGCCCGCCCCCCACACGAAGAGCTGCCCCTTGCCGGTGAGCGCGATGACGTTCTCCGCCCCGCAAGCCACCTTCTCGAGCTGGTTGAAGTGGGCGGACGTGAGGGCGGCGGGGATCTGTGTGGGCGTGTGGCGGGGCTGGAAGTCGCCGAGCCCCAGCTGGCCCCGTGTGTTGACGCCCCAGCTGAAGGCGTCCCCGTTGATGGTGAGCGCGATGGCGAAGCCGTTGCCGCACGCGATGGCCTTGAAGCGGACGTCGAGGGTCAGGTTAACGCACAGGGGGACCGCTATGAAGTTCAGGTGGTGGGGGGCCCGGGCGGTCGGCGGCTGGTTGTCGTCTTCGTCTCTCTTGGGGTCGTGTTTGGTGCTCTTCTCCTCTGGTGCTGCTGCTGGTGCTGGTGGGGTGGGTGGTGTGAGAGAGGAGAAGTGGGCTGGCGGTGTGGCTGCCTCTGGAGCGGAGAGGTCGCCTGGGTGTCGCGACGTGGGGGCAATGCCCAGCTGAGAGTCGACGTTCTGGCCCCACACGTACAGACAACCCTGCACATGCACCCATTGCACCCACACACACAGACAGACAGTGGGCTGATTCTCCCGAGGGTGTGGTGGTGGTGGGTCACTCACTCAGTCACTCACTCACTGACCTCTCTGTCGATTGCAGCAGAGGACGCGTCCCCACAGGCCACCTCAACGATCTCCACATCCTTGAGACCAACCACCTTGGCAGGCCGCCCCGTCCAGGACACATCAACGCCCCCGCTCTCCACGCAGTCACGCAGACCTTTCGGCCCGTCTGAAGGCGGCATGTAAGGCTCGGGCGACTGCCCCAGGAGCTTGGCTGCGGCCTGTGCCGTGTGTCTCGGCTTGGCCTGGCTCTCGCCCTTGTCGGGGATGAGGGGGCGGCCCAGGCCGAGCTCGCCATTGCTGTTCTCGCCAAACGTGTAGACGCTGCCGGCGACAACCTGACAACACACAACAACAGTGAGTGACACGCAGGCAATGCCGCTCTCTCTTGTGGTGTCAACTCGCACAGACGCGCAGACGTACGTACCGATTTTCTGGGTGTGGGTGGTCTGGGCGCCATGGGCACCTGGCTCTTGTCGCCCATCTGCACCGCCGGCCTGGGCCTGGGCGGCACCGAACCGCCACTCAGGTTGACCCGCATCGACATCGATATCGGCGGACCACCCGGCATCCCTGGTGTCATGCCACCACCACTACCACCACCACCGCCACCACCGCCAACCTGCCTCTCGAGAGGCAGGCCCCCCCAGAGCGTCCGAGGGGGTATGAATGGGGCGAAGGCGTTGTGTCGGATGTGCAGCCGGACGGGGGATGAGTGGAGGAGTGGGTGGTTGGCCATGAGCCAGTTCTTGAGGTTGGGGATCTCCTGCAGCAGGTCGCTCACGTTGGTGGCGATGGACTCCTCGTCGGGACCGACGTCGCGGTCGGGCACTGAATGAACGGGGGGATGAGTGCAGCAGTGCAGGCCTTGTGTGTGTATGCCTTGTCTTGGCTAGGCGTGGCTGTGTGTGTTTGTCGGCTCGGCTTACGTGGGACATGTATGCGCCTCTTCTGTCTCTGCGGCAGGTGGCCAACACGGCTGGGCGGCAACACCATCTCGCCAGATGGACTGCACACACCACAACACAGCACAACACACGAACCATCCATCCATTCTTCTCAAACGTTTCTCTCGGCCGCCCCCTTGCTCTTGCTCACATCCTAGCATGTTTCTCCTGGATGGGCGTGAGCTTGGGGCTGCCCCCCAGCAGCCCCATGAGCGACGTCCGGCTCGACGGCGACGGCGCCTGCAGCTGCCTCCGCCCCACACTCGGGGACATCCACCCCTGTGCCGCCTCGCCCCACTTGCCCAGGCCCGCCCGCATCGCCCCAGCCACCTGCGCAAAGTCGCTCTTGACCGAGGGAGCCAACGGGCTGTCGTCGTCATCGGCCCCTCCTCCCGCTGCTGCTGCTGCCGCCGGTGATTGTGGCTGGTTGTCGTTGCTGTGGCCGCCGAGTGAGGCCATGGGTGTCAGTGGGTCGGGCTGTGGGCTGCTGGCCTGGACGGAGGGGGGCTGCTGGCGCTTGGGGTTGGGGAGTTTGAAGGGGAGGGTCCATGGGAGGGGGCAGAAGGGGAAGGACAGCCGGAGGGCGCGGAAGCGCTCGATGTAGCCCTCTGCCGCTGACACCTCACCCCTGCGGGCATCATGCACAGAGAGAGGGAGAGAGTGAGAGCGTGTGTGTGGAGGGTTGGTTTGGGTTGGGCAGGCCTGTGTGGCTCGGCTCACGCGTTGATGTAAAGCTGTGCAACCATCCATGAGATGAAGAGGGAGAAGGGGTGGCCCCTGCTGCCCGGGAAGCGGGGGTCGCCCCAGAGGTCCTCCAGCAGGCTCTGCGCGTGCAGCAGCAACCGCAAAGCCTCCTCTATGTCACGCAGCTGCAGGCGCCACAGAAACCTGATCGACGACACACGACACAAACGCGCAACAACAGAAAGAAAGTGCTGGAATGTCTGTCTTTCTCTCTCCCACCCACCGCCCCGCTGCCCTCAAGTACTTGAGTATGGCGAGTCCGATGTATGTCTCTGGCGGGAGCATCATGCAGCTGCCGCTGTGGTTCTTCATGGCCGTCTCAATCGTCTCTATCACATCCTTGACAGTCCCCTCGAATTCGGATCCCCCCATGAAGTGACCATGACCCACACCCATACCACCGCCCCCACCACCCCCACCACTGACAGACGCCCCTCCTTCCGACCGCCGGCCCTCGATGGGCAGCAGCGGCTGCAACGCCTGTGCGCCGCCCCATGGGGCCAGGTCGCTCACCATGCCGCCACTCGCGCCTCCCCTGCTCGAGCGGGAGTACTGCAGCACCCGCCAGGTCCAAAAGAGCAGCACCGTCTTGAGGCGGATCGTCATGGGCCGGGTGTCGAGTGGGCAGTCGTGGTCGCAGTGCAGCAGCGACATCAGGCTCTCGGTGCCATAGCTGTGGCCATACTCGTGTGGGTGGGAGTGGGAGTGACAACGGGTGAGGGTGATGCCCCGGAGGGTCAGCGCGCTGCCCTGCTGCGTCACCTCGTCGCCCCAGGCCTTCGCCATGTGTGTGGGTTGGTCCATCGTCACCGTGTTGAGCGAAAAGGGCGGCGAATCGCCCCCATCGCCAGCTGCTGCCGCGCCAGCCACCGGCGCCTCCAGCGTCTCGGTTGCAGGAATCACCTCCACGGACGGAATGGCGTGCGCGAGCGACGGAGGCGGCAGTGGCGCAGCCATTGGAGCGGGCGAGACCTCTCCCCCTGCAGGAGGCTCCATGAAGTTGAGAGGTGGTGGTGTCGGGTCCAGCGGCGGCAGACCACCGGGCCGCGGCGTGCTCCCGACCCACGAGATGAATGGCACGATCATGCTGGCCAGGTCGAGGTTGTGGTCGTGCAGGAGCCGGCCGAGCGCGACGCCTACGCCGAGAGTGCGGGGATTGGGGGGGGAGAGCAGGGGGGAGGAGGGCGACGAGGGCGACGAAGCGGGATGCACCAGGTGGGGGAGGAGGAAGGCCGTCAGCCGCAGGGACCGGACGAAGGTCTCCTCGATCCGCAGGGGGCCAGTCGTCTCGAACAAGGCCTCTGATTGGATGGAACACACACATACGTGTCACGTGTCCAGTGTCCAGTGATATCGCTGGCTGTGCAGCTGACCTGCCATTCTGAAAGTGGGGTCCGTCGGGGTGGCCGGCATGAGCGGCATATCGTCGTCGAAGCGACGCGGTGTGGCCTCGCCCGTCAGCCGCACCGGGCGGCCCTTGAGCTTGAGCCGCTCCGACCGCAGAAAGGCGAACACGCCCTCGTTGACGCGAATGTGCAGGTGCTCGGCGATGAAGGCCAGCAACAGGGGCGCGGAGGCCGTTGCCTGAATCATGGACAGCAGAAAGGGGAGGACTCCTTATTGTCATTGTCGTGTGGTCCGTCCCGTCTTACGGTGTCAATGACGCGGTCGACGAGGAAGCGCTGATCGGTGTTGAGAGGAAGGTCCATGAAGTGAGCCGCCTGGAAAAGGAGATGGAGAAGGGGCCGCACAGCACATGGCATGACGCCACACATGGCAGGGGCGAGGCGCAAGGTGTCTGTCAAGTACCTACCTCTGCGAGTGACGCGGCGAGGCAGAGGTTGAGGGCCTTCCTGCGGTTGTGCTTCCTGATCGCATCACGGTTCGCATCCGCCGATGACACCCTGCATCGGCCGCACACACACACACAGACACAGAAGCCATTCATTCATCGACCAGTGAGTGTCTTCCCGCACTGAGCAGACGCACCTGGAGCGATCATACTGGACATTGAGCATCTCGGTGACAAGCAGCGTCACCTCCTCCTCAAACAGCCTCGAACCCCACCCCAGCCGCTCCACCCCACCCTCCCCACCGCCACCGCCACCACCACCGCCACTAATGCCTCCCTGCCGCATACCCATCAGCTGCCGCACCACCATCCCCACAGCCATGCCCACCAGGTCGCAGCAGATCGCGTCGACCAGCATGGCGTCCGACGGGTGTGGCGACGGGTAAGGCACCGACAGCAAGCGGCCCAGCAGGCACCAGAGGGCGGGGATCGGCCGGATGTGGTGGTGCTCGATGAGGCGACGCAGCGACTGTGACGACGACACGAAGGGGAGGCTGCGCAGGTCCTTCAGGGCTCTGTCGATGAAGGGTGCGAGTGGGGGCGGCGGGGTGTGGGAGCGCGCGATGTTGGCTTCGGGTGACGGCAGCGGCCGCCTCGCCCGCCTCTGTGCCCCCTTCCTGCCAGACCCACCACCGTCCTCCGGCTCTTCCTCGTAGATCGTCTCGGTCGGCGACTGCTCCCCAGCGCTAAAGGACCGCCTCAGCTTGGCCCCCTTCTTGCTGCCCCGGCTGCTGCCGCTGCTGCCTCCGTGTTCCGGCGGCCCCTCCGCGCCGCCACCCTTGGTGAAGTGCCGACGCATCACGCTCTTCTTGTCATCGTCATTCATCAGCACCGCGTCTGAGCTGGACGGCCGACGCAGGAACGTCTTGGTCTGTGGCTTGGGGGGCTCGGACGGGGGCGTCGCGTCCTCTCCGTGTCTCGGCGAGGGCGCCGTGGCGACGCCCGGCTGCTTTGGCGCCTCTGGGGGCGGGCGAAGGGGAGCTGGGGCCGTGGGGGGCGTGGGCGAGTCGACGTGGATGCCGTCGCCGTTGACCAGTGTGTTGCGCAGGTGGTCGATGATCTCGTAGCCCGCCTCGCCCTTGAGGAAACTGTCCAGGTCGTTGCGGATCCTGGGCGTCAAGCCGCCGGCCGGGCTGATACTGCTGCTGTTGTTGGTGTTGTTGTTGTTGCTGCGCGGCATGCGCTCGTCAAACGGGCTGATGGGGCCGCCCTCCTGCGTCTCGATGGTGTCCTGCCGGTCATGTGTGCGCTCGTCAAAATCGGGCCAGCCGTCCCCAGCCCACTCGACGGATGGCTGCGGGGGCGCCCCATCGCTGGCCTTCTGTTGGCGGATAGATGGGGGGTATGGCGGAAGGGGCGTGGTGAAGGCCAGGACGAAGTCGTCGCTCGTCCAGGGCAGCGGGTGGTTGTCGTCCTTGACGCCGCCTCCATCGTCGTTGCTGGTCTCCTCGCCCTCCTTGGCGCTGCCCGACGACGTCAGCACGGCGCAGAACTGCCCGAACAGCTCCGACATGGGCGGCCCGTGGACCGTCGCCGCCCCGGGGGGGAAGAAGTGCAGCTCCGACCCCACCCTCTCCTGCGCCACCATGGCGAAATGCTCCCAGTCGTCTGCTTGGATGCGGCAGACGTCCAGCTGCGGGATGCCGTTGTCCTGCCGGCTCACGACGCACACCGTGTCGATGGGGCCGTCGGACGGCAGCCGGTTGGTGATCGGCATTGGGGGCTCGGGGGCGAACCGGCCGAGCAGCCAACTGAGCGGCAGCAGGGGGGATGCGATCAGCCGGCCGCCGTTGCCCTCGGCGCACGCCAGCAGTGGGGGGCAGGGGTCGGTGTCGTTGTCGAAGAGGGCCTGCTTGATCAGCACGATCTGGTCCTGGATGAAGCGCCACTCGCTCTCCGACGTGACGAGGCGGAAGAAAACGCCCTTGTACTCGAAGCCCTGCGCGGCGAAGCGCAGGAGCCCGCTGTGGTCGCCATGGGCCTTGTCGTGCCCGCGGTGGTAGGCCCACTCAGTGAAGGCGGTCCTGTTCTCCTCCATCTGCTTGTCGTCGGGCGAGGGTTTGGCGGTGCCGTCGGGCCTCACGTCTTTGGCATTCTCCTTGGCGTCGAGTGGCATGGCCAGCAGGTGGAAGAACGAGGGCTTGAGATCCCGGTTCGTCTGCAGCTGCTGGTTGGCCTGGATGTAGTACTCCTCCAAGAAGTGGATGAGCACGTCCCTGAGCCCACGCCGGCCGTCCTCGCCCCCTCCGGCATCCAAACCCGTCGTCCCGGTGTCGTCGGTGAGCATCTGCAGCACCATCCGACACAGCCACTCGAGCTGCTCGAACAGCCGCTGCAGGTCCTGTTGAGTGGCCATGAGCTGCTCGTACGCCGCTGTCACCGACACCGACGCGCCGCCACCGTTTGCGTGGGGGAGGGGGGCGGAGGTGGCTGTCGTGTTGGCGGTGAGGGAGCGGTCGGTGGAGCCCTCGCTCATCGGGGGGAGTGGGTGTGGGATGTGCCGGTCGTGGTGCGGGGGGAGGACGTCCTTGAGAGTGATGGTGTAGCGCCACGCCCCCTCGGGCTTGACCTTGACGTCTGGCTCCCCGTTCGGGTCGGGGTACCGGTGGAAGGCGTTGCGAAACACAAACACAGAACGCTCTCCTGACACACACACACACACACACAAACGGGCTATTGCGACATTCCTCACCCGTCCCCCCCTCCACACACACCTCTTTTCATCGTCATGAGTCCGCATCTGAGTTCGGTGATGACGTTGAGGGTGACGGTGTCGGTGATCTGCAGCGTCACGATCTGGTACTGCTCCTCGGTGTGTGGGTCGAGGGGCACGTGGATGTCCGTCTTGGCGAGGTCTGACATGCGTGACGGAGAAGACGCAGCATGCCCATGAGCATCGTCAGAAGGAGGAGGTGATGAGAAGTTGATCCCCCCTTGACATATGAGGACAACCAACACACAACACACACACACGCACGACACACGCAGGTACGGCACAGACCGGAGAGAGAGAGGGGGAGGGGAGGGGCGCAGCTCTCCGGTCTGGCCTTGCCTGCCTGCCTGCCTCTCTCTGTGCGTGTGCGACCATGTATGTATCTGACCTACCGACCGTACCGTATTTGATGACATCCTTGGGCGACATTGCCAGGTCCACCACAGCCACACCGCGATAAGGCCACCCCCTGAGCGGCTTGGCCTCCCCCTCCTTCAAAATCTTCTTGACCACCTCGCCGTTGCCGAACAGATCCACCTCCTCACCCGTGCCCCTTTCGTCCCACCCGCACTCAAAGCCGTCAAAACTATCCCCCAGCAGCGACGCATTGTCGTCTTCTAGCTCAATATCGGCAGCCTCCACCGGACCTCCGCCTCCCCCTCCCCCATTGCTGCTGTGGCCCTTGAGCGCCTCCGTCAGCCGCTGCATGTTGCTCACGAGCCTGCACCTCAGGTACTTGGCCACCATGGCCCACGGCCGCATCGGCAGCTCGTCAAGGCTCTGACACATCTCGATGGCCAGGTCGGTGGGCAGCCTCGGCTCCGACTGGCTGTTGCACCAGTTCTGGTGGCCCACCACCTTCTGCGAGAACCGGATGGCCGTCATGCCCAGCGTCTCGAGCGCCGAGGGCGGGCAGTTGGGCGGGATGGAGGGGTAGAAATACGCGCTGTACTGCGCCGTGACGACATATGGATGTGGCGCCCGAGGGAGGGGCGGGGGCGGCTCTGAGGGACCGAACTTGGGCGACTGCCTGACGCGGGGAGTGGTCGATGCCGACGGTTTGGAGCTCTTCGGGCGCCGCTCGCTGTCGACCTTCTTCTTGTATGTCTCGTCCACCAACGCTTTGGACATGCACGCTCCCATGGCGCCGACTCACTCAGGAGGAAGGAAGAGTGTCGGACGGACGGATGTGATATCTATGCTCGTCTAGACGTATGGCCTGAAAACACGCACACACACCGCAGGGAGAAGAAACGGATGTGCAGCCGTGTCGATGGCACCAACACCAACACACAACACACAGCACGGCACCTCTCTCTCTCTGCAGCTCTTAAGAGACGCTGGCTGATCCATGGGCACATCTATACGGCCGCCTCTCTCCCTCCCTCCGTTCTCTCCCTTGGCTTACCAGTCTACGTGCAGCGGTTTGCCGTCCATCTGTGCCGTGACACCGCGCCTCCGCATCAGCTGAAGAAGCGGAAGCACCCTTCAACAATGGGTGGGAGAAAACGCCGCCGTTTGAGGCAAATCCGGCGCAGCAGTCCCCTGCCAGACTCTTGGCGGTGGTAGGGAGCCTGAATTATTTCGCAGATCTCACGATTGCGAGCTGAAACTTTGCGAGCTGACGCCGCGACCAGAACCCCGGGGACGGACGAAAAGGACACAGCCACGGAGCCACGGAGCGTGTGCAGCCATCGTTTGAGAGATCTGCTGCAGCTTTGATCGTGATTGCTGGATCACATGTGGATCTTGAGCTCAGAGCATCCTGCGAGGGATCTGTTCTTCTGTAAGGCGAAGACGCACGTCCAGCATTGGCACCTGCGAGGCGAAACACATGAAAGTGCGGTGTGTTCCTTGCACTCAGGGTTCGCACAGCTCGTGAACTTCTACTCCTCGAGCGCTTTCTTCATCTTTCCGGTGGTTTGAGTTGCCACACAACACGGCGCATTCACTCAGCTGTGTGTCGTTTTCTTTCTTTCAGGCTGAAGCGCATGGGGCTCTGGTCGAGCAGCAGGAGCACACCACTTCAGATGAGGTCTACAGCAAACTGGGCCTCGGCGACTCGCAGAAGCAGTTGCTCTTCAGGTAATACGGAGCTGCGAAGCACCGAAAGGATCCGCTGTGCTGCCTACGTGTCTGTCTGTGTGTGTGTGCAGTTTTCTGAGAGGCTGGAACTCTGCCATCTTGGCGTCGACTGTCTACGGCTTCATCGTCGGCCCCTCTGACGTGAATTTCTTCCTGCTGCTGTCGCTGCTGAGCGGCGGCGCGGCCACGACCCACGCCCTGACGGCCCGGATGATAGCCAAGGACCCTGCGCTCAAGCAAACGGTGGGTGTCCAGGAGTCCCTGCGGATGAGTGTGTTCACGGGGCTGCAGTCGATTGTGTCGCTGTACATGTACATGTCCTCGCCTGCACGTGTGTCCGAGTGAAGCGAAAGGAAGGGGGGCTGCTGCACACTCGTCTGTCTGTGTGGACGTGCTTGTTGTTTCTCGCTGGTATGCGATGGGTGGAGTGTTGTCGGCCCGCGTCTTGAGAGGGTGCAAACGTCTGTGTCACGAGACAGGCGTTTGCCTCCTTGCGGGGCGCAGACAGGCGACGCTCACGCCGGTCGCACTGTGAGGGCGGGGCGGATCCAGCCGGCATTGGATGCCATGACGTGTTGGGCATGTGTGGGATAGATGAGTGTACAGACACCGTCGGGGTATTCTACCATTCATTTTTCTGTGTTTCGATGCTAGGTAGAGTGAGCGTATGTGGACCCTTTCCCACTGTGACACTTCTTTCTCTCTCTTCCTCAGTCAATCAACAAGTGTGCATCCGGGTGTCAACAATTGGCCGGTGAGTGTCTTGCATGGTGCCTGGTGGGTGGATGTGCGGGGCAGCCGGCCGGCTGTATGTATCGGAAGAATCGAAAGTGACACAATTAATTGCTCAAGGCACACTTGACGCACAGCGTCAGGTCCGTCTGAATGAGTCCATCCATCCATCCAGACACACACAATGCATCACATCAAGCAAGTCACAATCACCAAGAGATGGCCTCGGCCGTGCGGCAGCTGGGAAGCTACTGTGCTGTGTCGCCTTGCCTTGTTGGACCGACGGACTAAAAGCATCGGTCGCTCTGAGAGCGACGAGTTGTCCTCACAATGCAGACACATTCACCTACGTCCGTCCATCCATCCAATTACCGACGACGTACGATGAGAGTGAGGGTATCTGATACGCCCGCACAAGATTTGGGCGGGCCACGCACACAGCGACTTCATACAAATCCCTCCATCCATCCACCAACAACATGCCTGCGGCCGGATGGCCTCGGCCGTCCGGCAGCAGCTACACTACGATGCTGTCAGACAGACAGCCTGACCACCACACACACACACACACACACATACAGACACACACACACATTGACAAACCGAAACTCACAATATCTGCCTCCGCACGTCGTTCTTACCGTTTAGGAGGTACGAGTTGCCGTCACGGACTCGTACCAGAACCGGGGGCCAACACCATCCCAAGTGTTGATGATGAAATCGCCCACTCTCGATCTGTCCCGGAACACCTGCCGAATGGCATCGTCGAGGTCGCCATGCTTGTCCTGCCGGTCGCCATACTTGTAGTCCGGCAGGTCCAGCGCCACACTCGCCAGGCCGCGCACGCCAGCCTTGAGCAAAGTCGAGAGGCCGTCGCGTATGAGGTTGGCGGCAACAGCATCCTTCAAGTCATCGGGCACTGAATGAAACACACACAGACAAGGCGGATGACACAGACGAGCACCTTCCTCACATACCTGAGAAGTATATCAGTATCGTGCGAATGGATGGGAAGCTCTCCGACTCCCAGCCGTCAAAGGCGCCGCCCTGAGTGAGGCTGATATGACTGCAATCGTGTCCCAACTCGGCAGTGCCCACCTCCCTCCCCTCCCCCAGCGTCCCCAGCACGCCCCTCCTCGTCTCTGTGCTGACAGCTGCGCCAAACCAGACGGTCTCTACCTCCCTGGGCATCCTCTCCGCCAGCAGCCGGCCCGCAGGACCGCCCACAGCGCTGTGGATACGCAGCTCTGTGGCCCTTTGGAACTGTGGTAGGTGTTCGATGATGGCGGGGGCCGTGGAGGGTGTGCTGGGAGGGGGGTCGAAGCCAGGGGCATTCTCGACCGTCACGACGTTCACCTTGTCGAATGAAAGGCTCTTCGCTATGTCGGTGGCCGCCTGGCTGGGGGCGTCGATGGGGTGGGTGAGGTCGTGCTGACTATGTTGAGTTGGCGAGCTTTGTGTGCGTTGTTTTGTGTGACCGTTGCCCAACGCTCTGCGATGCTGCCTGGCTTT